TTAAAAAAACCGAACAGGAAGAAAAAAACAACCCCGCAGCTCGATTTGTTACCAGGGTTTGAATTATATGAAAGTGAAACTGAGTAGAAAGGGGTCAAACGGATGCCGCACTGTCAGGATTCCCGATTCATTAATTTTTAAGGCCAGATTAAGATGAAAACGCGCAGGTTTTGGCCCTAACGGAGCGGTACGGGGAGAGGGAGGGGCCGCGGCTGGAGGCGGCTCGGGGCGAGCTCCGCGGGGCCAAAGTGCGGGTGCGGGCGGGGAGGGGGCGCGGGGGCTCCGGGGCTTTGTTCGGGCCGGGCCGCTCCGCCCGCAGCGCCGCCGGGGGGCGCGCGGAGGCGCCGCGGGGCCGCGCGCCGGCTGGGCCTGCGCGTGACCGGCCCCGCCAGCGCGGGCCCGCGCGCCCCCCCGGCCCCGCGCGCTCCCGCCTCGCACCCCCAAAACCACCCCTTCATCCCCCCCCGTGGCGGGGCCGCCGCCGAGCCCCGAGGGGGGTTCCCCGCACGGCGGCGGGCGCGGCGCCGCTCCGCTCCTACCTGCGGGCCCGCGGCAACGCAGCGCGGCGGCGGCGGCGGCGGGGGAGGGACGAACGGACGGACAGACGGACGGCGGGGCTGAGGGAGGGAGGGAAGGGACTGAGGCGGCTGCGCGAGCCCCGCGCGCGCCTCGCCGCGCTCGCGAGAGCACGCCCGCCCCGTTGCCCGCTGCTCGCTCACGTGCCCGGCGGCGGCCGCCCCGCTGCGTCCGGTAGCGCCGCTGTGCCCCCGGTGCCGTGCCCGGTGCGTGCCCCGGTGCCGTGCCGTGCCCGCGCCGCTCCCGCCGCTTGCCGGGGCCGCCCCGCCCGCCCTGAGGGGTGTGGGAGTGGGGGGGGCGCCGCCACCGCCGCGGGTCTCGCGAGAGGTGGGGGTAGGGGGGGGCCCGCTCACCCTGCTCTCGCGAGAGCGCGGCCGCGCCGCGCGCCGCCAGCCCGCCGCCCGCGCGCCGCTCATTGTCCGCGCTCCCGCGGGGCACCATGGGAAATGCGCGGGGGGCGGGGCGAGGCGGCGGCCACGCCCCCTCCTCGGCGGGCGGGGGGTGGGTTGTGCTGTTCTGGGTCCCCCCTCAGCCCCCGCCCGGGGAGCGGCATCGCCAACAGCGATTTGCGGGATATCCGGGGGATCCAGAGTATCCCGGGGATCCAGAGTGCCCAGGGTATCCTCTGATTCCCGAAGCACCGTTCCCTGTGCCCCAGGGCACACACGGTCCCTCAGCGCCCGGACCGGACCCGCGCACCCAGCCCAGCCAAGGCGCGCTCTCCTCAGCAGAACGCTGGTGGCACCATCGCTAAAACAGTTAAAATTATGGGCTCCCTGTGACTCTGTGGTTCTTTAGAAGATTCTGGTAAAAAACCGCCGCAGCCAGTGTGCGAGGCTTTGCTGTTCCTCTAATCCAACATTGCCACCTGGTGCTGGCGGAGGAGAGGTCCCCTTGCCTCTGCCCTCACGAAATCGGTGCTTTATCACCAAAGTACTCGTACAACTGGGCAATTATTTCTTATTTGGAGTTCTTTCATAGTGAATATCTTTATTCCCTATTTAATTTTGTGGCTAAAGAACCAGTCTCTCCATCATCGCTTTACAAAGGGGAGGATGTGCGTATGAATTCAGGGGAATCTCCAGGGGAAAGGAAAAAATCTGCCTTTTTAATTCATCATAGGCTGGTTTTTCTTCTCTACGTGTGGCTGCAGAGCACAATGAAACAATAACACAGAAGGTATTTTTAAAAAATGGGATTAGTACAAAATACGTGTTGAACAATACTCAGAACAATCACAAGAAATTCAGCTCTTAACAAGCTCGGAATAAAAAACAATTAAGTGTTTAAAAACAAGCACATAAATCTCAGTTAACAATCCTCCTGTGCTCCGGTACTGCAGAGCAGTAAAAGCAGAGCCAAGGTAAAGCAATCCAGCCACTTTTGCCCAGTAGAAGTCATATATGGATTGCAAAATGTATGGTGCTAATAAACAGAACCATATATTGTGTTGGCGTTTCCAACATGCAAAATGCGGGTACGACTCCGTTTCCTGGCTTTATTTCAACGCCAGTCTTGGACTACATGGCTTTTCTCCCAATTTTCTTTGTTGTCCTTCAGTCAAGGCACCAAAGCCAGGGAGAGGTGAATCATTTTGACCCTTATTGATTGTCTTTGTGCTGCAGAAGGAGCTGCACAGTGCTGACCATCATCTTCCTGCTAACACAGGGCTGCAGGGGCACCCTGAGTTCCACATCCCGGAGCCCGTGCTCGCGCTGACCACTGGAGAAGCTTTATGACATCCCTGTGTGTTTTATTTTCCAGTTGTGCACAAAGCCTGGACATGACCCAGCCCAGAACCCCCCGTGCCCTGGGCTGATCCCCCAGCGTGGGCAGCAGGGCAGGGGGGATTCTGCCCCTCTGCCCCTCAGCTGAGACCCCCCTGCAGAGCTGCTCCAGCCCTGGGGAACAGCACAGGGAGGACATGGAGCTGCTGGAGAGAGTCCAGAGGAGGCACCAAGATGATCAGAGGGATGGAGCAGCTCTGCTGGGAGGAAAGGCTGGGAGAGTTGGGATTGTTCAGCCTGAAGAAGGGAAGCTTTGGGGTGACCTGACTGTGGCCTTCCAGTGCCTGAAGGAACCAAGAGAAAAGATGGAGAGAGACTATTTCCAAGGGCCTGGAGGGACAGGACAAGGGAGAATGGCTTCCCACTGCCAGAGGGCAGGGTTAGATAGGATATTGGGAAGAAATTCTTGGCTGTGAGGGTGGTGAGGCCCTGGCACAGGTTGCCCAGAGAAGCTGTGGTTGCCCCTGGATCCCTGGAAGTGTCCAAGGCCAGGTTGGACGGGGCTTGGAGCAACCTGGGCTAGTGGAAGGTGTCCCTGCCCATGGCAGGGGGTGGGACTGGATGATCTTCACAGTCCCTTCCAACCCAACCATTCTGTGATGGGGGAAAAGCAGGACTCTGAGAGCTGCAGGTGCTCAGCAGAGCTCTGGTAGTGCGGGAGGCATTCACTGAGCAGAGCTCTGCAGCCCTTCCCAGCTCCTCTGATGGGATACTCACCACTGCCAACACTTTCTCCATCCTTTCCTCCTGCCTTTTTGTACAGCACAACCAGGCCTACAAGTCCTACCTTCAGCCAAGATGAATATCATAGAGCTTTATTGCAGAGATTTTTTTTTACGAAATAAGCCTGTCAGCACATATTTGTTGTTCTATAAAACACTTGCTTTATGTGGCTCACAGAGCCCATATTCCCCACTTTTTGCCACTTTTGGAATTACCAGGTCCAGCAGCAGAGCCCCCTGGCACAGTGACTGTTCCTTGGCTGTCAGCAGGCAGGCACCCTGTCCTGGGGCACCCATCTGGGATAGGGGGAGATCGCTGGGCAAAATGTAAACCCATGGGAAATTACAGGCAGGATTTGTTCCCACAGAAACAGTGAAATTCATGGATGTCATAGGTTTCAACTAAGAAAAAGCTTTTTTCCCAATAATCTTGAGTATTTTAACAATTATTTCCATGTGCAGTATAAAAACTGTGTATTAAGATCGGGATATTGAGATGGCAGAAAGGCTCATGGGTAAACAGGGATATTTAAAAATTAGGAAAGCCCTGAAAAAAAAATCTGCACTGCAATTCATTTTTCCAAACAGCACAGAAGCACCTATTTGATATAAACCAGCAGTACCTGGGGAACCAGCCTGATGTGGTTCATCAACAGCCTCAGCCTACTAGCTTCATCCTCAACAACCTGAATTCCCTGAAGCTGTTCATGCTTGTCCTAGTTAGGACAGCTGAGATCAGTTCATCATGGTATGGGTGTAACCCAAAACTGTGTATTCTATAGCCTTCCATGCCATTTCCCAGAAACTGTTGTCAATAGACTATTCGCACCCTCTGCCCATAGAGCCTGACTCCTCAGGCTACAAACTAGGTGTTAAGAGGCCTGTGAGATAGGAGGATGCTCCTGTCCTCACACCCTTTGTGGAACTCCCCGCCCTGAGGGAAGTACTGAGCATTCCTGCCTGAACTGGAGGATATATAATCTTGGAGTCTCGGAACATTTTTTAACCACTCTGTGGGATCCAGAGGAAGACTGCAGCTCATCGCCCTCAACCAGACTTAGACCACCCTCAACTGGACTGCAATCACCACTTTTGACCAGACTGCAACAGCTCTTCCCCCAGCATCTCACTGCAATCACCACTTCTGACCAGACTGCAACAGCTCTCCCACCAGCAGGTTCTTCCCCTCTCCCTTTACTTTGGACTCAAGCGGGGCCCAAGGAACACCACGTTGTTCATGCCCCAGGGTACTGGGTTATACATTTGGGTTTTGTGGGTTAAGACCAATTGTTTGTTTGTATGATTGTACTTACTGTATTATTGCAGTAAATTGTTATTCTGACTTATAATCTCTCCTTTGAGTTGAGTTCATTTCCCCTGCTGGTTAACTCTTAAACCAGCACAATGCTCCTGAAGCAGCATATTGTCCCACAGCAGCCTGTGTCCCTGCTTCCAAGTTTTACTGGGATACAGACAGCACTGCAGCCACAGGAGCATCTACAGCAGGGTAACTGATGTGACCAAAGACTACCGAACTATTTCTTAAAAACTACAAGTTTTAGCCTAAAACACTTCAAAAGTCTGGATTATTTCACAAATACAGACTGTATGGAATCCAAATGGAAATGAGATCCAATCTCTCATCTCCATTTCGGAGGGAGCAATACACGCCTTTGTTCTGACTTTTGCATTTAAACACCATTTTTGCCTGAATCCCTGATGACAATCTTGCCCTCCCCACCAGTTTCCATGGATTTTACATATTCATCAGCCTTTTCCAGATGTTTTTTGCAGGCTTCACCTCCCCCAAGCCCAGGGAAGGGAGAAGGTACTGCACTGTGCCTCTCCAGTCTCTAATAGACAATATTTCAATGTGACTTTCAAAGCCTTATAAGATAATGAAAACCAAACTGAGCAAGTTTAAACACAAATAAGTTTAATTGAGGTCACATAAAATATATTTTAAACAAGCAGTGAGAAGGGATTAACAATTAAAGAACTGTACAGATAATGCTTGTCATACCCTGCCCCAAACTACCTCTGATGTTTGAAATTCCTACATCCAGATCCTGAATATAAATCATTTTCTTATAGCCCCGTTTCAATTGTGGGCTTCCAAGTTTCCATCTTCCCAATCCTTTCCAAACAGGGATTTTCAGAGCAGCACCAACAGCTTTTTTCTTTTCTTCTGGCCACTCCTGCTGCTCCAGCAAGCCCCAGGACACTTACCTGTAATTAAAAAAACAGCAAAGACAGTTAATAGGAGGATCCCTAAAGAACTCAAACTCAACCTCTACACTGAGCAGTTGAGTAGCTGACCTTCATTTTTATATAAAAGATGTACAATAAACAAAGTGTCTGCAATAGATTTTTCAGTTTTCTGTGTGTTGTCTGCATCCAATCTAGGCTCTAACTCCACAAGCAGGAGTTACTCCACTCTCAGGCATGCAGAGCACTGCCAAAGCCCAGCACCACCGAGCACCAGGACGGCGCCGGCGGTGCCAGGAGGACTCGGCAGCACCTTTCTCTCCCAGCAGCATAACACTGGCACAGGCACGGAGCAGCCACAGGCAGCTGACTACCACTGGGAGAAACAACTCAAAACTGAGGGTTTAAAGGACTGAAGGAAGTGGAGGCACAAAGTACAACCCTCTGGTGATACCTCCTCTCATCAGGGTTTCCTCCAGCAAGTGGAATAGATAATGTAGGTTAGGTAAACCTATTGCTGGATAAACCAGGTTATTCTTTCCACCCTCAGGACCTGAGGCTGGTACAGGACCTCGATTACCACCAGAAGAGGACGTTTAGTTTACTAACAACAGAACGGAGTGTTTGCCCATCTCGCCTCGTTGGCTCACGGTCACAACCTCATCCACGCTGCTTGAGGTGCTCCCGAGATCTCCCTGTGTCTCATGCACCGGTTATCCCTTTACATCTCCTCTCCACAGGCACCGCTGTTCTCCTGGAGGGGCCTCACGCGGCTGTTCCCCCTCAGCACAACTCGCGGGAGGCGGCTCGTGCGGACCCGTCACCCGAGGTTTGTTCCCTTCGAGGTTTTTGTTCCCTTCGAGGTTTGTTCCCTTCGCACGGTTCTCGGCCACCCTGAGCTCCGGGTGCGACCCCCTCACACGTGCCCCAGCCTCCCATCAGGTGATGCCCTAAAGAGAGCACAGGAGAAACGCCGCTAAAAATATTCAGTTAAATCTGTATTCACAGTTTAACACTTGGGCCCCGCCGTATGGGAGGGATAAAAAGGTATCAAACCATCAGCACGAGGAGCTAGCGCCGGACGGCACAGCGGACAGAACACCCCCTGTGCCGGGGGACCCGCGGGCCCAGTGCCTTCCGGCCGGTAGAAACGAGTAAATAAAAAAAAAAATAGGAATATTTCAGGTGGCGCTCTCCGTTCCCGGAGCTCCGGGGCGCGGTGAGGGACCGCCGGGTCTGCAGTCCCGGTGCCTTCCCTCCCCCGCTCCTCTCCCCTCACGGCGGCCGCGGCGAGCCCGGCGCCTTCCCCTCCCCTCACTGCCGTTACCTCATGGCGGCCCCTCATGGCGGCGGCCCGAGGGACGCCCAGCCCGGCCCAGGGCCGTTCCCTCCCCTCACGGCCGCGGGTCTCTCCCATTCCCCCACGCGGCGGCGGGCGCAGAGAAAGGCCGGGCCTCGCCGCGCGGCCGAGGTGGTTCCGCAGGCGCCGCCCCGCTCGCCTCAGCCGCTCCCCCCGGGGCGGGACCGCCCGGCAGGCGGTAGAAAAGCCCTCGGTAATGGCAGGCACAGGAAGATATGGGCTGGTTTAATGATCAGCTCGTCCCGCCCCGTGCCATGGGCAGGGACACCTTCCGCTAGCCCAGGTTGCTCCAACGTGGCCTTGGACACTCCCAGGGATCCAGGGGCAGCCACAGCTTCTCTGGGCAACCTGTGCCAGGGCCTCCCCACCCTCACAGGGAACAGCTTCTTCCCCATATCAAATCTAAACCTGCTCTGTCAGTGAGAAGCCATTCCCCTTGTCCTGTACCTCCATCCCTTGTCCCCAGTCCCTCTCCAGCTCTCCTGGAGCCCCTTTAGGCCCTGCAAGGGGCTCTCAGCTCTCCCTGGAGCCTTCTCTTCTCCAGGTGAACCCCCCCAGCTCTCCCAGCCTGGCTCCAGAGCAGAGGGGCTCCAGCCCTCGGAGCATCTCCGTGGCCTCCTCTGGACTCTCTCCAGTAGCTCCACGTCCTTGTGCTGTTGGATCCCAGAGCTGGAGGCAGCTCTGCAGGGGGGGTCTCACAAGGGCAGAGCAGAGGGGCAGAATCCCCCCCGACCTGCTCCCCACTCCTCTTCGGATGCAGCCCAGCACACGGGGGGTTTCTGGGCTGCGAGTGCACTCTGCTGGCTCATGTGCAGCTTTCCATCCACGAGAACCCCCAAGCCCTTCCCTGCAGGGCTGCTCTCAATGGATTCTTCTTCCCGTCTGTACTCGTGCGTGGGATTGCCCAGCCCCAGGTGCAGTACTTCAGAGGGCTGAATCTGCTGAAAGAGAGGACAAGGCAGAGACGAGGCCGTGCCCACCAATGCGGGTGTTGAGCATGAGCGTGTGGCTCATGGTGCACAGACACCTGCAGTGTGTCACCAGCGCAGTGCCTGGCTGTGACAGACACCGAGGGCATCAAAGTGCTTCTCACCAGAGCCCACCTAATGCCCAAACTTGCTTGGCTGTCGGGCTGGAGGTGACCACCACAGTACAGGCAGCAGCAGTGACCACAGCAAATAGGTCCAGCTGATGCTACACATCCACAGAAGTTTTCTTCCAGAGATTTCCTAAATTTTCTCCTTCCCAAAGTGTTACTCTTTCTTTTGCTCTGGGGACTGAGGGTGTGGCACAAATGTTGAGCCAAAAGTCTGATCAGTATGGGAGGATCATGTATTGACCCTGCAGTGCCACAGCTAGAGGTGAGCAGAGACGTGGAGCAGTTTGGAGCTGAGAGAGCAGAGAATCATCACTCTTGCTGCCACCAGAGCTCCAGACATCAGTTACACCAGGGCATGTCCCACACCAGGCTCGTAGCACACGTCCTTTGGAAGCATTACAGCTAGTGCAAATCCCTTGAGTGGATGCACTGTGCCAGAAGACAGTGGTTTTGTCCTGATTTAACCCATCCCGCTAATTTATGGGAGCAAAATCACTCAGATGTGATCCTTCCTTTGTTCTGTAGCTAAGCATTCACTCAACAGGGGTTACCCAGCTTCTGGAGCCTGTTGAGTTGCTTTGAACACAAGCTGCAGGGCTGTGCTGGGATGCAGGGAGCTCAGGGGAGGCTGTGTCTAGACTGGAGGAGTTCTCCGAGCACTGGCTGTGCCTTTGTTTTGAGGTAACTCATGTCTCTAATCTGCCTTGGAACAAAGTTTCTCAGTCCCTTTAGTCCCCACGACAACGCTGGCAGGAGAAAAGGAGGATCTGTTTAGCTTCCACCAAGCCAAGATGAACAATAGGCCAAGCAGGTGCAAGCCTTTGTTTGAGCCACCCTAACAACGTGCTCCAAGGCCAGCAACCAGAGGGAAAGCTGTGCACACCCAGGGAAATCTATGCTGGGAAGTGAGAGGCTGGTCCTGGCATCAGGAGTCACTGAGTTCTGGTATTTGGCATTCAGGAAGCTTTTGAAGTATCTCCCTGACCCTACTGAAAATGTCTTATTAAAAGAGGCAAAGCATATTAATTTGGGCCCATGCTGTGCTAATGAGTTTCACAGCTTCCAAACCAGAGCTGTGGCTTAAGGTCTTGGCAGAGTCATCACCCATCCCTGTCTGTGGGCACGTGCCCCCAGGCACAGGCAGAGACACCTCCAGGAACAAGATCCTGAAGTGCTCTGAGTCTGCTCTCACCTGTCCCCCCACCAGACAGCTTTTCATCTGCTGAATTGGGCATAGCTGGGAAACGAGGCCCTCCCCACGTTCACCACTGACGGGGAAAGCACCGAGCTCCTTGCCCTGCTCAGCACCAAGCTCTCTCCCCACGCACAGCCGTGTCCTGGGTGCTTCCTGGGATGAGGCAGGATCAGGCTGTGCCAGGGAGGAACCCCCCACATGGCATGGCCTGTGTGAGCACCCCCACATCCAGGCAGAATAGCTGCCTGCCTCGGGCTGAAAACAGACCAAGAGAAGCATTGGAAGAACACAGAGCTGGAGTGGATGATTGCCCGAGGCCAGAGACAGCTCCAGCTGAGCGTCATCCCCCAGCTCTGGGAGCCTAAGCACAGGAGGAGCGAGGGGAGGGATCCCAGCCTTTCCAGGAAGGCCTTCAAATGTCTCACTGGAGCACAGAGCCCAGCAAAAAACTTCCTTTGAATGGGTCCCAAGTGAGAGATGTCATGGTTACACTGCTGTGCCTGGGCATGGACACAGGGAGCACTACACGGGGGGTCCAGCAGAGTCCAGGGAAGGTGTAGCTCATCTCTCTCCCAGTAAGGCTTGGCAGCACTACAACTCATTTTCTGCTTGTTTCAGGGCAGGGTTTTTTGCTGCTGGAAGCTGCTTCTGAGCTGGCACTTCTCCCCCATGTGCCTGAAGTGGGACAGGGCGAGCAGAGAACCAGATCCCTGGCCCTCTGGTTCCCATTAGCTGGCACCGGAGTTCAGTTTTCCCAGCTCCACAGCTCCTGTGCTTCCCACGCTGGTTCTCCATGCCCCTATGTGTTCACCTCAGCGTTGAGGATGTGGATATTCACAGCAGAGGTGATCCTGCTGAACTCTCCAGCTTCAATCTGGGAAGAAAAGTACTTTTACTGCTTGGATATGGCACTTTGAACAAGAATTCCTTCCCCTGGAGCTCATGACACAGGTGGGACTCTGTCCCTCCATGCTGAGAAGGAAAATTAGCCCTCAGCACACAAGGAGAGATACAGGTCAGATTCTTCAGCCTGGAAGAAAGTGCTTTTATAGCCAGATAATTCAGCTAGAGAGAGAAATGTTAATGGGAGGAATCATTTGCACTCTCTCCAAGCAAGAGTAGGGAGTTTTCAATTGGAGACAAATTTTCTCTTAGCTCCTGGCTTGTTGAACTGGGGTGCTCTGGGCTGTCTATCCATCCAAACCACATCCATACATCACATCCAGGGTAGACATGAAGCAGTTAGAGCGAGTCCAGAGGAAGACATCAAGATAATTAGAGGCATGGAGCAGCTCTGCTGGCAGGAAAGGCTGAGAGAGTTGGGATTGTTCAGCCTGCAGAAGAGAAGGCTCCAGTATGACCTAACTGTGGCCTTCCAGTGCCTGAAGGAGCCGACAGGAAAGATGGAGAGAGACTATTGACAAGGGATGGAGTGACAGGACAAGGGGGAATGGCTTCAAACTGCCAGAGGGCAGGGTTAGATGGGATATTGGGAAGAAGTCTTTGCCTGTGAGGGTGGGGTGAGGCCCTGGCACAGGTTGCCCAGAGAAGCTGTGGTTGCCCCTGGATCCCTGGAAGTGTCCAAGGCCAGGTTGGACGGGGCTTGGAGCAATCTGGACTAGTGGAAGGTGTCCCTGCCCATGGCAGGGGGTGGGAATGGATGAGCTTTAAGGTCCCTTCCAACCCATTCTGTGCTTCTCTGACTCTGTGATTCTATGATTCAATGATCTCCTCTGACTCCTCAGAAGGGTCCCTGGCATTTCCACTTCCCCACTGCCATCACAAGATGGCATTCCAGGTCTAAAAGCTGAGCCTGCTCAGCTGATGCTTGGAGGTCTTTTCCAGACCCCGAGGTGTCCAACGCCAGGGGAAGCTGTGGATTTAACCCTGCCTGCTGAGCTCCTCTGCCAGCTCTCAGCCCCGATATTGCCTTTTAATCACATCCCTTAATGTCAAGGCTGCACTTTAAGCACCTGGAATGAAACACTGCAACCGTTAGTGCTGTAACCTCTGAGCCACCTGATTGCACTGAGTGAAGCCAGTCATAGTTTTGACAGTTAATGGCATGCAGAGCACTTTAATCTTGGCCTGTGGCACCTCTGGCTCTTGCAGGGTCTCCTCTGCCCCGAGGAGACTCTGCTAATCAGACCAAGCCAGGAAGTAGTTTAAGACATGGCCAAATGAAGCCAAGGGCAAACCATGAGCAAAATGTGTCTGACTCATTTTGTTGCAAAGCACTGTCAAAGGTGGAACTGCCTTTTGTTTGCCTGAGAACGATTTGAGAGAGCAATGATAAGCCTTTCAATAATTTATACCTTTAAAATAACAAGAACAACAACAAAAAAAGAGAAATCACTTGTCTTAGGTATGATTTTTAAAAAATAAAGCCTATTTTGAGTTAGGTGCATAAAGCCCTAGTGTGGTGTGTATCACCTCTGTGTACCCCCTGCTACTTCTGCCCTCGTGGGGACACAGCTTGTCCTGAGCCACCTGCCCACCCAGGGCAGGACCCACAGCCAAGAGCTGTGGATCAGTGTGGCCACATTGGTGAGGGACTTCAGGATCACCTGACACCCACAAACCCATGGGACAGGAGCCCCATTTAGGCTCAGCCCTGGAGCTTCCCTCATCCCATGGCAGATGCTGCAGGAGCACCTTGGCTCGTGGGCGTACCCCTGGGTTCCTGGACGGGCCCTCACACACATTGTAGCTGTGTCTCTTGCTGTATTTTCCAGCTGAACTTTGGATCCGTGTTATAGCTGTGCCTCCAGCCCTTGGCTCCTCTCTGGGCTCTGGACTG